AATGACTCTTTTAGCTCTATTAGCAATGGACGGGAAACTTGAAGCTTACAATGAATATTTTTGAAACCACTGAGGTCTGATAATACCATTGTCATTATTTGTTATCATAATGAACTATTGTTTTTGCATGCAAGTTCAAACGAACAATGCTGTAAAGTTTTGCTGAAGCAATCCAACAGTCATTATAAAATTTCTAAACCTTATCATGTGGTTATTCTCTGATGTCCTTCCATTGATCAAAGGGTATGGCTGGAGGAGAACTAGTTGTGACCCCTGTTGAGAATACTGGGTTTTGTCCAGAGGAGGCTACTATAGTAGGTAACACATGTTTGTATGGAGCGACCGGCGGACAGATGTTTGTACGGGGTAAAGCAGGGGAGCGTTTTGCAGTAAGAAACTCTCTTGCTCAAGCAGTTGTGGAAGGCACTGGAGACCATTGCTGTGAGTACATGACAGGGGGGTGTGTTGTCGTGCTTGGAAAGTGAGTGTTCTTTTATTTGTCAATGAAATGTTTCACCTAGATATTGAACAAAGTCTGGTGTTAACATTGTCATGTTTTCTTATTGTGTCAGAGTGGGCAGAAATGTGGCGGCAGGTATGACCGGAGGTCTGGCATACATTCTCGATGAGGATGATACACTTATCCCCAAGGTTCGTAACCCTAATTCGCTCTGTTTGTTTCTGTGGGTAAGTACTTGCATGAAGCTGATTTCCTTTCCTTATGGTAAAATGGCAAGTGTCCTTTTTAAAACCTGGAAAATACCTTTAAGGAAAAAGAAAGAAGGAAAACAGAGGAAAATTTGAAGGAAAGAATACGTTGGTGCAATAAAACATAGGTTTAAAAATAATGAGTTTATTTATTTGTGTTCATATTCATTTTACTCATTTAGTTCTATTATCTATAGACTAAAAAATCTGGGTTTATATAAATATTTCATTTTCCTTTGCATTTGCTCGTGTAAACCCAAACATAAGAGTATTTTTTCTTAGCAACTTTCCTCTTTCCTGGCATTTTCTGTGATCCAAACAGACCCCAAAAGCAAGAAATTACCTTTCCATAGCATTTTTTCCCTACTCCAAAGAATTTTCCGTTATCCAAACATACCCAAAAATATCTGTTTTCTGAAGTTTGTGAACTCTGTGGTGATGCCTGCCTGCATAGGTAAACAAGGAAATTGTAAAGATTCAGAGAGTATTGGCTCCTGTGGGGCAGACGCTGCTAAAGAGCCTCATTGAAGCCCATGTGGTAAAGACATTGTGAATTCACTCGCTTTTGGTTGTAATAGTTTTTGCCAACCAACACAAGATATTCTTTATCTTATTTTTTTTAACTATCCAGGAAAAAACTGGGAGTAGCAAAGGCTTTGCAGTTCTGAAAGATTGGGATAAATATTTGCCACTCTTTTGGCAGCTCGTCCCGCCTAGCGAAGAAGACACGCCAGAAGCATGTACCGAGTATGGGCAGGTCAGTTTTCAGCCTGCATTTGAGGGGGAGACGAAAAGGACATAAAGATTTTAAAAAATTGTATCATTTTTTAATCTTGAAAAAAAAAGAAATAAAAAGGAATAATCAAAGTTGATGTGAGGCCCAAGGCAGAAGATTTTGAGTCTTCTGCACAGAAAACATTGCTCCCATCTTTAAAATGTTTCCTTTGTCCCATAATTTTCTCCTTAGTTTGACTTGACATGATTTCTAATAAAGTAGAATGTGTATAACTATGGTTTGTGAAGAGAAAAGAGAAATGTCATAGACCCCATATTTTTTTTCTCTAAAAGGAAAGATAAAATTTTTTAGACAACCTAAATAGGAAAATAGAAAGATATTTATAGGATAGAGGGATTATGTAACAAGGAGGTACCCTTTGCCCGAAATTTGAGAATTCAGTCGGTGAATGCTTGTGTTGCGTTTCATTTGGCTTCCTATTGCATATGTGGTGGTCTATGGTGCGACGGTGCGGCTAGGTATTTTTCCTTCGGGTTATGTTCTTTCCTTTGTATTTTTATTATCTTAAAAGTTAATGCAATCTTTTTTTCAATGAATGAATGGAACCTTTGACTTTATTGGGCATAGTTTAAAAAAATCAAAATTAAATTCGACATGTATTTTACCCCTTTGATCGCATATCCATGCCGTTTTGTTGGTACACACCGAAATACTCCCTCTATTTTAATTTATATTGTCATTTAAGATATTTTTCTGAAGTTATTTTTAATACAATTTATTTGAGAATTAAAGCGAAATTAAAAAATTATATATTAAAGAATTACATCAGAAGCTCTACGAAGCAGGTGGTGACATGAGTATATCATTTTGTTGAATGAATAACTAAGATAAGAAAATATATGTCATATTTTCATTTGTCTATCCGAAGAAAAGTCATTTTTATAAAAGAATAATCTTTTATGATCTATTTTTCACACAAACACACACAAACCCACACACACGCACACCCGCACACGTGCACTCCCGCGCACGGTCGTGCACGTGCCAACGCGCGCACACGCACGCACCACTTCATCAATTTCTACCAAGCTCACAAAATCTCATTTAGATGCATCTAATTTCATTTGCAACCATTAAATCACAAAAATTCATTTAGATGCATCTGATTTCTACGCACTCGCATGCACCCACCCCCCCACTCATGCACGCACCCACGCAACGCACCCACCCACCCACGCACGCACACACACCACTTCATCAATTTCTACCATGCTCACAAAATCTTATTTAGATGCATCCGATTTAATTTAGAACCATTAGATCATATTGCGTAGTTTTCTTTTCTCTCTTTATGACTATGTTCTAGACAGTGTGTTGCCCTTATTTGGTTTTGTTTTAAACTTGTTTGATGTTTTTTCCTACCTCTATTTTCCTTATTCAAAGTTTTATGAGGTGATTTATTAAATGAATGAGTATTAATCATTATTTTTATTTTTTAGAAAAAATATGAACACAAGCTCCAGCAGAGCTCTTATTGCTGGTGAATGTTTGGTAGATGGTGGTAGTACCAACACAATCCTAAAACATAAGAAATATTTTTTTGAATTGCTTCAAATCAAAACACTTGTTGGTACTATTTCAGTTGTTAGTAACCTAATTGAAGGCTTCGGAAGAGCATGCATCATATTACCTTCGGGTACCAATTAATCATAAATGATGCACTATACTTGATACATCAAGAAGAAAACTACTTAGTTTCAAATATTTTCATCAAAATGGTTACCACCTCAAAACTACATCTGAAAATAGTATAAAGAATACCTAAAACTTATTTCCTGTGACGACATTTTAGAAAAGCTAGAAGCTTTATCCTCTAGATTATATTGTACTAATATAAATCCTATTGAGTCATATATGGTAAATAAGCAGAAGTTACTAGATAAAGACACATTTACTATATGGTATGACCGACTAGGTCACCCAGGCAGTACAATGATGAGACACATAATAAAAAATGTGAACGGGCATCCACTCAAAAATTAAAAAAAATCTTACTGCCACAAGACTTATTATGTGCAACATGATCTCTTGGAAAATTTATTACACGGCCCTCTCAAACAAAATTGATACATGAAAATCCCTCATTTTTGGAAAGAATCCAAGGGGGCATATTTGGGCTAATACACCCTCTATGTGGACCATTCTGCTATTTCATAGCATTGATTGATGCCTCCTCGCAATGGTCACATGTGAGTCTTCTAGCTACTAGAAATGTAGCATTTGCCCAATTTTTAGCCCAAATTACACAATTAAGAGCGCATTTCCTAGAAAATCAAATTAAAAGTATCTGTATGGATAATGCTAGAGAATTCACATCCCAAGGTTTTGATGATTATTGCATGTCAATTAGAATAAATGTTGAACATCCAGTAGCTCATGCTCATACACAAAATGGTTTAGCTAAATCTTTAATTAAACGATTACAGTTAATTGCTAAACCACTTTTGATGAGAAGTAAATTGCCATCTTCTGCATGGGGGCACACTATTTTACACGCTGATGCACATATATGAATAAGACCAACTGTTGATCAGGAATACTCCTCACTGCAACCAGTCTCCGGAAGAGAACCAAATATGTCCCATTTAAAATATTTGGTTGTGCAGTTTACGTCCCAATACCCACCACAACGTACCAAAATGGGACCCTAGAAAAGACTGAGCATTTATATTGGTTTTAACTCTGCGTCTATAATTAAATGTTTAGGACCATCAACGGAAGATATGTTTATAGAACAGTATGCTGACTGTCAATTTAATGAGATAGTATTGCCAGGGGGAGACAAGAATAAAGAAAGACTGGTAACACAAGAAATAATATAGAATGCATCATCTATATCGATATTCAACCCCCAAAGTGGTCAATGTGATTTAAAGTCCAAAAGATCATACATTTGCAGCGAATAGCAAATGAATTACCAGATGCATTCATAGATACAAATAGAGTAACAAAGTCACATATACCAGCATCTAATGCACCTCCTCATATTGAAGTAATCCGAGAAGAAACAACCATAAAATGAAAGTGTGGGAAACCAATAGATTCCAAAGATAAGAACCCATGAAATGAAAAGAGCAAAATAGTGTAGTTGGTGAAGAAGATTATGAAAGATACTCCTATAGATGTAAATGCCCCTAGAGAGACTAATACATTTCAAGAAGAAAATGATATTCTTGAAGAAAGACCGGTACCAAATGAAAGTGAGATTTTCATTAATTATGTATAAGACAATACAATATGGAACATGCATGAAACACGTGTTAATATTTTTGCATATATATACTATAGCAATGGATGTACTAAATGAGAATGATTATATACCTAAAACTCTAGAAGAGTGCATGTACATGAATGATTGGCCAAAATGGCAAGAGGTTGTACGTGAACGCTGAACTTGAATCACTTCACAAATGAAATATTTTCGGACCTATAGTCTGAACACTCATAGACGTCAACCCCGTGGGTGTGCAATGAAAAGAAACGAAAAGCATGAGATTATGCGCTATAAGGCTCGATTTGTAGCACAAGGGTTTTCCCAAATCCCAGGAGTTGATTATGAGGAAACATACTCCCCTGTAGTAGATGCGATAACACCTAGATTCTTAATGGTCTCGCAATCTCAGTAGGACTTCCGATGAAACTTATGGATGTTGTCACAACATACTTATATGAGAAACTTGAGAATAACATCCATATGAAAATACCTAAAGGATTCAAAATGCCAGAAGCATTAAAAATCAGTACCTCTAGACATGTGTGCTATACAACTCAAAAGATCTTTATATGTTCTCAAGCAATCTGGTCGTATATGGTACAATCGACTTAATGAATATATAAAAAAACGTGGCTTTAAATTACCTTACAAATAATACAAGTAAGTAGGTACCTCACACGAACTGGTGTAAGCAAATGACACCAGTAACACTGGTGTCATTTTAGACTTACTGTGTGTGTGTGTAAGCGTCTAAAATAATACCAGTAGGTACCCCAAATGAACTGGTGTAAGCAAATGACACCAGTAGCACTGGTGTCATTTTAGACTTACTGTATATGTGTATATATATATATATATATATATATATATATATATACTTTACCATGTATTTTATTATTCTTTGAGTAATATAATTATTCAATTATTTAATAAAAATGAAGAAAGGGAGATGGTAGACATCCATGGGGTAAAAATGAGTAGGTGCACTTAGTTGGCTAGGGAGTGAGTGGGTGGGCCGTGGGTAGGCCGCCGCCCGCCAGTGAATGAACGAACGATGAGCACTAATTAATAACCAATTAACCAACATGTCCAAAAAGGACAAATGCTTAAATTGTCCAAATACAGATGTATATATGTTTGTATGTATCCCATCTCATCTGATGATCATCTTCTTTGCTTATTTTGATTTTATCGTAAAGACAAAGCAAAAGTCTCATGCCTAAATCATCATTACAATTACTGATCAGAATCAACATAGATTTTCTTGGCTTAATCTGGTCGGTCGATCGATGCCCGGCCCTATATGTCCTACTTATATACGCAACAAATAGAACCGTACGTTAATCCGGTCGTCGGTCAACTCGAAGCCATATACTCCGTATGATGCTTAAGGATGAACCTCATTCTTTAATTATAATTGAAATAAATTAATTTATAATCTTTTGGGACAACATAGGAACACTAGGCAGATAGGGGCAACCCTATGGCTTACTTAGGGACATGTAACATTTCCATCTCGTCAATTAACTACTATATCATGGTCATTAATTTTAATTAGAACAAAAAACTGTCTTCAATGGTCATTAATTCTTTTTTTTTTATTTTAAGAATTGAAAATCAAACTTATATTCTTATAAGGAGCATGATTTAAACTTATATATTACGGAGTACATTAATTTTTGTTCCATCTGATTTCATAAAAAAAGTCCAATTGAAAGATATAAATATTTTAAAATTTGTTGTCCCTAAGAGAGAGATAAAGAAGGAATGATTAATTGATGAGGGGATGGGTGCGTTAGAGCCAAAAACGGTGGGTGGCCGCCAGGGTGGGGTTTGAGGGTTGGGTAGATATTAGGTTTAAGGATAGAAATGTCTTTTTTGAGAAAAATGTGTAGTTCTTTATGGGACAAAAAATTTATGAAAGGTGTTTGGGACGGAGGGAGTACAACAATATGGCAATCCCACAGTAATATATAGGCGACACAATGAGTGATTAAGAATTTGATCTGTTCACAGGAATTAGGAATGATGTGAATCTTCAAACTCTTGAGGTTAATTTTCGAGGACGATGAGGAGACGGAGAGACCAACATCCGAGAGTAAGTCCCTACTGG